CAATCTGTGACCTTGAGGCTCCACTTTTTAAGTGATGAGATGCTCATCTCTCTTCTTGAAACAAGTGTTGGCAATCTTAAAATCATACGCCAATGAGAAATCAAGAAGAGTTTGTCCTTCATTGTTTAGCTCTCCAAAACCAAACCACCATGCACCCTCGCATACTGACCAGCTTTCCCTCCGACATGCCCATTAAAGCTCTTCATTGTTACTGAACATCAATGAATTAATATAGGAATGCTGTTGTTGTTGTAGATCTTATTTTAGATTTAGTCATCTATTTCGCTGTCTGGTTATCTGTCTCTATTTAACTATTTCCTTGACTCCACTTCTCATTCATTTGATAAGCTTCACCAAATTGTTGTCTTTTGGATACAAATTTCTTTTGTGGTCTGTTCTAAAATTTGGTGGTTGTATGGGTTCTTTCTATGGCAAGCTTTAAGTATTTATTGGATTGTGAACTCATTGATACAAGACACCAGCCAAGAATATTATTTAACTTTATTTTCATATCTCAAGACTGGTATCATTCTAATAATTCTGCTATTGATTCCATCGTGATTATGAGGCACACTAGATTGTTTATAGCTATCTTACACCATGTTGGTGAAGCTCTTCAGATATAATATCATTGAGTTAAACCTTATATTGAGATGTAGTTAGAGATCATTGTGGCTTTGCTGAAGTAAGACTTCTTTGTTTAAATCATCATTTCTTTAATTTTAACAATTTCTTAAGATGCAATTGTGATTTACTGATGGACACTTAGGTGAGCAGGAAAGTCTCTCCCAAAAGCTAGTTATTGAGGTGGAAGAGCCAACTTGCTTAAGTATCCCATAAAACATCCCATAATACAAAATCTAGGACACTTAGGTGGGCAGGAAAGTCTCTTTGTTAGATATCATTATGGCTTTGCTGAAGTAAGACTTCTTTGTTTAAATCATCATTTCTTTAATTTTAACAATCTCTTAAGATGCAATTGTGATTTACTGATGGACACTTAGGTGGGCAGGAAAGTCTCTCCCAAAAGTTAGTTATTGAGGTGGAAGAGCCAACTTGCTTAAGTATCCCATAAAACATCCCATAATACAAAATCTAGGACTACTGCATCCCATATTACCTTGGCTTCCATGAGTTGATCACCCTTGAAGAGCAGCCGTCTCAACTACTACACTTTGCAATTACTTCACTCAAGTTCCTTGTTGGTCAGAACCCTTTGCTGGGAGCCCTATCTAGAGTTGCTGACTGTTTACTCTAATACCAATTGATGGGCACTCTAGTAGTGTGAGAGCCCTCCCTTAAAAGATATCTATTGAGGTGAACTAATCTAACATCTCATCTCAATGTGGAACTTAAATTTTCCATACTAGATTTGTTTCCATCATTACCAAAGCCTTTTGAGTTGAAATGTGATTGATATCTTGTCTCATAAAAAAATTATGACCTTGTTGAGTGTTGAATTTTGTTATAGGCATTTATCTTTGAGTCTACTCTGTATCACCTCCCCCTTAGTTATTGATAGCACTAATTTCAACCTAGGTGATACAGTTCTTGTCACTGTGTCATATGTGCAGCATTGCAACTTTCTTGTAGATCTGCTATATTTATGCTATTGAAGATATTTTTACGTGGATGTAGTTCATGCCACGATTGCTACAATTAAATGGGGCAACAGCTATTCTATATACTCAACCCATCCTTGCACAATTAAAATTGAATTCTTGTGATACCATGACCCCATCTCTCTAAAGAGATTGATGGTAGCAATGGTGTTAATTTGCAAGGTGGAAAAAGAGCTAAACAGTCAAGCTCTTGATAAGGATGATGAACAAAGAAACTCCTGGAAAGAAGAGAGGAAATTGAGGGATGCGTGGTGATCATTAAGAGGATTTTTTCCCCCTTTTGATGGCTAAGTCATTGAGAGGATATTTTATTCGATGAAAAATAGGAATTGGTTTAGACATACTGGTATCTTAGTTAAAGCATAGACCCAAGCTTTGTTGAACAGTGATTGTTTTAAGTACTCGATATTGTTATTGATAAATTATTATTATGTCAATATGTTCTTTTTTAGTCATTTATTCATTACGTAATTCTGTTTTGATTTTTATTAAACCCGGTTTGCTACGTTTTCATGTTGCTCGTGCAACAATTATTTTATGCATCTTTTAGCATTCTGTGGAACCCTTTGTGTTAGAAGTGTGTATCACAGGAGTAATAAATACCCCCCCCCAGCGGGCCAAAACAAACACCCCCCCCCCAAAAAAAAAAAAACCATAAGTCCTGAATTGTCTAGGTTTGCAACTTTGCATGTAAACTATTCAACTTAAGTTCTACTATTTTCTTAAATATAAGATCACATAGATCAGTTTCTGTTTCATAGTATTATATGTGCTTATTTGATATCGAAATCCCTGGATGCTTGAGCACAAGTTCATTGATTTTTACATCATAACGATGGGTACTAGAACTTGATCATTTTGCTCTCTGTTTTCTTAAACCATCCGTTCATAGTTTGACCCTTGTCTATCAAACAAGTAACTTCATGCCTATATTGGATAATTTATTCACGAGAAATATGAGAACTTTAGTCTATCATTCACTGAGAGGAAGCTGAGGAATATCTCTAATTTTATAGAGCATTAAGATACACTAATGGTGTTACTTCCTCCATTTTTTTATTACACTATACTTCTCATGGCTAATCCTGCTTCACCTCATTACAAATTGTGCAAGAATAGGACTGATAAAGGTCCTTTAAAACCTCCTGCTGTTTATCACCCTGTCTTTCATTGCATTTTGATCCCTGTTACTTCAAATTTTTTTGCCTGCTTCTTCAATATTGTTTTTGCACATCTTTTAGCTATTCAAAGAAATGGTATATGCCTTGGTGATTTTTTTCCCAGAAAAAAAAAAGGAATATGTAATGGTAATTTCATGACTTGCAGGAAGATTTTTTCATTGACCTGTCGTAACATCTCATTCTGGAAGATGAACCAACAAAATCAAGGAGCAGGCTCTTCAAATCCATCAAGTGTTCCAGCAAAACGGAAACGTGGGCGGCCCCGCAAAGAAGGAAGCATAGTTCAGGTAGACAGCACGCCTGTAAGACATGGCTCTGACAATTTTATCAACCCCAACCAAACAGCAGGCACAACTGGCAGTTCTGATGCCCAAATGATAGGGAAGGTGGTTACTGGTGTCATCGAGGGTAGTTTTAGTGCTGGGTATCTCCTTAATGTTCGGATAGGAGACTCTCCAACCTATTTGCGAGGTGTCATATTTCAACCAGGGCAATATGTTCCTGTCACTCCTGAAAATGATGTGGCTCCTCATCTTGAAATGATTCAAAGGAAGGATTTTCCAATTCCAGTTCTTAATCCACAGGCTCAGACGCAAAGTTCTATTCCCTCATCAGGACAAGGTAGCAAACAACCTGTTGAGCCAAAACCACCTCTGGTGTCTCTCTCTAAAGACCAAGTTCTTCCTACCGAGACACATCCTGGAGCCTCAGTTTCTCCTGGGAATCAATCTGCATCTGTTCTAGTACCTATGACTAACATTCCAACAAGTGACTCATCCATTCCTGCTGGAGGAATACCAGAGACTTTATCAGATCTTGGGCATGGGAGTCAATCTGCATCTATCATGAGGATGGAGTGTGACAAAATTTTTGAACAGGATATAAACAAACTTGATACATCCAGACAGGTTAAAGAACCCGGTGCACTTGGGGTAACAGAAAAGGATCCAAAGCCAACAGCTGAAGACACAAACTCGGTTCCAATGACTGAAAGCATTGACAAGGAGCTTCAAACTGGACAGAACACCGGAAACTCTCTCCAGCTGAATGTACAGATGCGGGATGAACCAATGATTTCAAATGTTGAACTCAACCAAATGCCTGCACATGCTGGACATGAGCCCATACAATGTGAACAGATTCCGGATGAACCCAAGAACTCAAATATTGAAGTCAGCCAAATGCCAGTATCTGCTGGACCTGAGCCCATGCAAAGTGAACAGATTCAGGATGAACCGATAAACTCAAATATTGAATTCAAACAACTTCCTGTAGCTGCTGAACCTGAAGCAATGCAAGTTGAACAGATTCATGAGGAACCAAGGAACTCAAATATGGAACTCAACGAAATGCCTGTATCTACTGAAACTGAATCTATCCAGACTGAACAGATTCATGAACTAAACAACCCGAGTATCCAACTAAACCGAATGCCTGTATCTGCTGATCCTGAAAATGTTCAGTCTGTTGACAAGCTTGAGGACAAACCTGACTCTCCAAAGCCTGCACTTGAGACCAGCCACCCTTCTACAGTATTCGGAGGAGATGCTGTCCCTTCTGAGTCCAGGTTTGCCTCTGAAGGATCCAATTTTCCAGAGACGAGTGATCCCCGGAACCCTGGTCCTGCAGCTGAGATTACTAAGGAAGACGACATTCAACCTTCAGGTGAGAATACTAAGGAAGACGACATTCAAACTACTGAGTCAGTGGAACCTGAAAACCCCATTGGCCCAGACAATCTCTGAAAACTGTTGCTAAAAAGATCAAAGACAGTTGGCATTGGAAGAAAAAATGTTTGAGCTCGGAATAAATCACTGATGCTAGTCTTGTATTCTGACAGTGTTAGTGGAATGGAGTAGGCAGGTAGCTTTCGTTTAAAAGTTAGTGTCAATTCTTTTGTTCCGTTGGCTTATAATTTGGTTTACTTTAGTTTTGACTTCAGTATTGGTATATTTGTGTTTTTTTCCTTCCCCGTTGAAGTTTGATATTTCTCGTTGTTTTTCTTTTTAGAGGAGAACGTACAATGTTTTGGATCAATGGCTAATCTATAGATATGATGGGAGTGACGACAGCTGAGATATGCATTGCTCCAGAAGTTGGATGATATTTTCATAGTACCTCACTCGTACATAATTTATAAGGAACGTCAGAGTGTCGATAAAAATTTATGGAAGTTCATTAGCAGATAAAAGATTATTTTTCCAAAACTTTAATTACTCAATTTTGAAATTATAAAATAAAGAGACCGAAAATAAACAAGTAAATTATAAGGATAAAATATTTGTCAAGTAATAAATCATGGAAGTGGCTCTTTGTAACAATACATGGAAAGTTTGGTAGCAAATTTGGTAGTTAAAACTAAGAAAACAGCACTAGGTTGGTGACCCACTGAGGAATGTTGGAGATCGTGCCTCCCTTCTGTTGTTAGGGAACCAGGCAGACCGATCCAAGTGACACTTCTAGTCTGTTAAAGAAATATTTAGTTGAGACTATTTTGTCATAATGCATGGTCGGACTAGTTTTGCACGGAATCTGAACTTGAAAAATTGACGCAGATCTGTTATACTAAAACTCGTTGACAAGCCGCAAGGACAGCAGTCAGTAGCAACAAAATCGAGATGAACTCAGCTGATGAACGTTCCCAGAAGCTCAGTGCAGAAGAGTTGTTCGCTTGTAATTTAACCGCCTAAATGAAATTGTTCCCTTTGAGAGAACTTTGAACAGATTTTTATCTGATAGGCGTCGCTGATTTCAGCCGGTAGGCACAAGAGATAATTAAGAATTGGAACCAGATGACTACACAACATCACAAAAATCTAAAATTCGATGGTATTATCACCACTTTGGGTCCTCGCGAAAAACTACCTTTTTTTCTGATTACAAACACGTTCTGCCAAATCCATTTACTGCTTCATACACAAAACTTAGCTATGCGAGCATGCATCACGTTCGCTCAAATGTGACATGGACAAACGTTTTGGAAACACATCAAAGGTTCCAAATGCGCAATATATCAATGTTCAACGACACAAGGCAAGCAAAGCAAAGCACATCAAAGTAGCAAAAATTAACATCCAAGCTTAAGTAGAATCCTGGCAAGTAAATCCACGCATTAATTTGCTCCCCTGAACACAATTTACGGTAACTTCCCCCTTCAATAAGCATGCTGATTACTTCAGCAGTCACTGAAAACAGCAATTACTTTCGAACTCAATTCCATACTCATTTTGTATGGTAACATTTTCGCTTCTAAATGATCAACATTCAAGAGTAGAGTTCACCATCAAGTCAAACTTTACCTTTTCCTATATCCAAGAAACCCACATGACATGCTGCATTGTTATACGCAGAAGCTACTAGGCTAGAAAGGCATCAAATAAAGCATCGTTATTAGAACATCTGGAGGTTATCAAGTAATTTTCGCTCGATACAACAGGAGATCACATTAATTCTACTAACAAGCAAAGGAGCTAAAGAGATAAGTTGGTTTTACACCAAGAGACGCTAAAAAAGACAGGCAACAGCAACAACTCCTCACGATTACAAGAGAGAATCGAGGTAAATGAGAAGGGGGAAAAGAAGAGGGGGGGAGGGTTCTCAAATCTCAACTGTACCCTAGCTGCTGCTGCTGCTGCTGTGGTGGTTGGTAATTGGAGTACCCAGGATAGTTTCCATACATGTTGGGATCCTGTGCAGTAGCTGGAGCATATCCATAGTTCTCATACCCCTGAGTATATCCGTAATACCCAGCAGCTCCATTCCACTGGTTTTGATCTGGCTGAGTCTGAAGATTTATGCGTTGGTCAGAATCAGATAGGCTTTTATGCCAAGGCGGTGCAGAATAATGAAAGATATTTCGTTACCTGTTTGTTTGAAGGACTACGGCCCCAAGAGAGACGAACATTCTGCCCACCCAACACTGTTCCATTTAAGCCCCTCAAAGCCTCTTCTGCGCAGCTCCTAATGCATGAAATATCAAGACACAAATGGTAAGGCTATCTATATATAAGCTAAGGGCATGGATTGACATTACAAGACAACTTTCAGAAACAAATTTCCACCTGTCAGCAAATTGAACAAACCCACATCGCTTGCCTGCTGGAATCTTAACATGTACCAACTCCCCATATTGGCCAAAAACTTGCCTAAGATGATCATCCGTTACATTAGGATCCAAATTCCCAACAAAAATCTGCAGATTAAAATTTCAGTCACAACATGCAGGGAAGAAAGTAAAAATTCTCTACTGCAAAGAAGTACGCACAGTTGTATTATTCGGATCATTCTCGTTCTGTGCCCCTTGAGGATTCTGATATGAAGCTGCATGACCAAAGCAGAAATGAAGTAAAAAGATGAATTGCTTAAAAACAGGGAAGGAAGCAGATATCGAGAACCACCATGATCCATAATCAAAGGAAATCAATGAACACATTTAGTTGCAATATATAACATCTAAGCTCATAAGTCACAAACACTGTATAATTCTTAAAGAAAGGAAAGCATCTGCATGCACGTAGAGCAATTTGAGAAGAAACAAGCAAAACAATTTGTTCCATAATCACACCACATTTCTTAGGAACTGTAAAAAATTAATCAGCATTAAATCATTGTAGAAAATAAGCCACTGTCCAATGAAATATAAACTAATTATCTAGACTATCTAAATTAACTTAAAAGAGTAACTTCAATGGCTATATCTGCTACAAAACGCCATGGCAAGATATTTGGCCCGATCAGAATTTGATATATATGGGATAAACACGCAATAAAAATTAGTCGCCTCCCTAATTGAACATTAAGACGTAAACGAGAGAGAAAGAAACAGAATTTAATTCATACATAGCTGACACCAACACACATCATTGATCTAGCTCACCTTCACATCTCTTTCAGACCTTCCAAAATACAAATAAAAGATAAAAATGGATTAAACTTGCTCCAAAGATTGGCAAGAAAACAGCAGCGAAATGTCTGTGCAGACAAGAGAACTTGACAAGTGGAAATAGCAAACAGCAATATAAAGTGAGATTTGATTGCATACTGCTGTGCTAAAATGGTAAGGGCAGAATGGAAACAGAACTTAGAAGTCAAGAAAAATTAAAAAAAAAAACACATGATAAAAGAAACAATAGCCGGTCCGAGATATTTCTGGCAATTCCACTCCGTCTGCAATAGCATTTCACAAATTAAGTTATTTTCTCATAGACTGAGGACTGGAAGCGGAAATCAATGTAACTTGAATGAAAAAGATGATCAAATGGAGAAAAAAGGTAAAAAAATATTGTTCACAACAGGGGATTGCTGCAAAAGAAATTTAATGTAGTCCTTCTGGCAAGCTATTAGGGATGAAATTAAAGGAACAAAGATAAAGAATGGCGGACTGAAAAAATTAAGTATCCAGAGTAGTTGTGCAATGTAATTGGCTAGAACCAACCAGTGAAATGAACTGAAAAGAATAACTTGAAAATTGCAGACGGAAAAGAAAAAGAGACCAAAAATAATGGGCAAGACATAAACGGGAACTGACCTACACAAGGCCATGCACTAAAATGGTAACCATTTCAGCTGATGAAATCGGTTCCAGGCTCCGAGATGACAGAGCCTCTCGACACCCTGCTTTGAGACAATAGGAGTTTTATAAGATTTGATAATTTATAATTATAGATCATTTACTTAGCCCAAATTTTTAAACGAAATTACAGGAAGAAATGACTTTGGACTGCAAATCTTCAAGAGCGTAACTGAATGAACCATAACTTAGGCCGTACATGACAGAAGAGAATTAAAACTGTAAAACCTTAAGCAAACCCACATAATGTCAAAAAACTGCAAGAACAGTCTACAATTATTAACATAAAAAGAAATCCAGTCTACTATTCCATCAAGGGCATATAAAGCACAGACATTTGCAAAAAAGGCCACACAAACGACAACTACGAAAGAGACTTACCTTTTGGCTGAGTGCCAGGGTTTTTGTTGGTGGCTGGTCCAATCCGCATGGGTCTTGTCGAACATAAAACACCTTGCATCTCAGTCATAGCTCGCATTTGTTCACTTTCATCTCCAAACCTAACAAAACCATAACCCTTTGTCCTCCCAGTGAGTCGATCGATCACAACTTTTGCACCTTTAATTGAGGGATACCTAGCCCTAAATGTCTCCTGCAGCATGTAATCGGTAACATCTGAAGCTAAATCTCCAACGAATATCGTGTAATCTGGAGTATCATCATGCCGCCTCTCACCCGAACTAAAAGTTGCCCAGTTCAATCTGAAGGTTTGCCCACCATTTGGCATAATGGTTCCGTTAAATGTTTGAAGTATTCTCTCAGCGGCTGCGCGTGTGAAAAACTCAATAAACCCATAACCTTCAGATTGATTAGTTTGCTTGTTTCGAATAACTTTCACCGAGGCCACCTGCAAAAAAAATTCTTTTCCTTCAGCAATAAAAAACCAAGAATGGCCACCAGGTTTCTACACATTGCAAGTATAATACTTAAATAGCCCAAAATCAATGTTATTTAACATCAAATTGAACAGCCCGTACTGGGGGGAAAGACAAATCCTAAGAGGTTCGTCCCTCATATATGGGCAAGGGAAATAAAAAAGTAGGATCAAAACCAGAGAAAACCAAAATATTGCAGCTGAAACCCGTACGGCTGGCGCTGGAAAATTAACAGAAGCCTAATTGTTAGCAGGCGGACAATACTTATCTCCAACACACATCGACGATATCATACACTACGAAAAAAGAGCGACCAACATTCGCGGCAACTTAAAAACGAATAACAAGAAATAAAAGAAACGGAGAAAGGGATTTTACCTCGCCTGTATGAGCAAAGCAAGTGTACAAATAGTTCTCGTCCATCCAGAACTGCAAATCACCGATCCAAAGAGTACGGACCTCATCGGCGGTTGTGGGCTGGACGGCTTGGGTCGTTTGCGGTGGAGCGACCGACTGTGGCGGTGGTTGAACTGAGGGAGGCCACATCGGCGGCGCCTGAGCCTGCGGTGGCATCATCATGTAGGGATGTTGCTGCTGCGGATACTGCTGCTGGGGAGGCTGTTGGCCCATGGTTGGGGGAGCCATGCCAGGACCAGGGTGCATCATCTTGACTCAAGGAAAGAGGTCTGTGATTTAGAGAGAGAGAGAGAGAGAGAGAAGGCAAAGAGAAAAGAAGAATTAGGGCAAAGGAGGTAGGGCTCCAGGCGTGTCTTTTATGGACAAAGCTCATGCGCAACGCTAACCCTAAAACGCAAAGCTTCCCGCGGTCGGGATTCGTTAGACGTCAGTGATGGGCTGATGGCTGGCAAATGGGACCCGCATTGTTATTTTACGAATGAAAATTATAATTACAATTATAATTATAATAACCAAATTTATTTACCCACACATCATTGGATGTACGGAACAGGATAAAATTAATGCAGTTCAAATGGCTGTAATTATTAATTTAGTTTCTCAAATTAAATTTTATTAATTTATTTTTTTATATTTTTTTTAAATTATGAGTCTATGATATCACTTCTTTAAATTTTAAAATATAAATTAATTTTTAATGTGTAAAATATATTAATAATTAAATATATATTTATAATTAAATTAGAATAAATTAATCTTTAAATTAGTTTAAAATTTATCAATATAATTTTCCATGCTGTGTTTTGCTTTATATTTTTTAATTTTTAAAATATGTTTTTTAATTAAATAATTATACTTATTTTTTTAATTTAAAAGGTTTCCATCAATAATTTATTGTTCAGGTAAGTAGATTTTAACACTTTTATTTTTTTATAAATAATTTTTTTGGCTACTATCTTTTCTTTGAACAATAAAAATAACTTAATCATAAAAATTAAAATTGAGTAATTAAATTGATAGTTGAAAAAATTTAAAAAACTAAAAATTATATTATCCTTTTATAAATATATAAAAGATATAGGAATAAATTTAAAATTTTTAGCAATATATAGATATGTTTTATATTTAAAGTTAAAACTTCTCTTAAAATATATTTTCTCTGTTTAAAATTATAAAATTTTTTAAAAAATTAAATGTTTAAAAAAAAAGATATTTTAGTAGTTCAAGATATAATTATTTTGTTTTTCTTTTAAAAGAGCATATAATAAATAAATTATTTTATATTTATTTTATAATAAAATACTTTATTAAATAGAAGTAAATATAAAAAATTATGTTAGTTTAAAGATAATTAACTACTTTATTAAAATATAAAATTTAATTAAAAATATTTTATATTTTTTAATGAAGAAAGTATCAATCTAATATTTTAAAATATTGTTTAAAAGAAAAGAAAGGCCATTCTCTAAAGTAGGATGAATGTATCTCCCCAAACTGTAGTAAGATATACTTCTTCCGTTTAAAAATATAAGGTATTTTTTAAAAAATTAGATGTTTAAAAATATAATATATTTTTAATTTTTTAAAGTGTAATCATTACTTTTTTTTCAAAAGTGCCTCTATTAATAATGATTTATATTTATTATAGAATATTTAATAAAAATAAATATAAAAAAATATGATTAATTTAAAATTAAATAATTATTTTATTAAAAAATAAAATTTAATTAAAAATATTTTATATTTTTTAACAGAGGAGTAGAATTTACAACCTCTATACCTTATCATTTACATTTAAATATGCGCGCGCGCGTCAATACTTGGCAAATATATGTCTATATATATATATATATATATTCTGCTACCGTTGGATATCATTTTTTTTTGATCCGGCTGTTGGATATCAATTACTATGCATCGATAAGTTGAAACTTCACTTCTGTTTTCGTCTAGAAAAGGAGAGAGCCTGCTAAAATCTGGTAGACGATTCCGACCAATGCCAAATGCGTCCTCTTACAAAAGCTGCCCGTGAGACTTCAATTCTTTTAGCAGTCTAGATGGTGTGATTACCAAACAAACAACCAGAAACATTGTTTAGATGAGATGTGCTATTACATCAAATCAGCAAGGGAGATTATTTTAAGCATTGATGCTTGATTCTTATTCTCTTGATTTATCTTTGAATATTGCATACGAAAATTCTATTCAAATGTTCTCATAAAAAATAGTTTAAAAAGACATATAATTAGATTTTTTCATAAACATGATATCTTAATTCTTACAAATTCCAGATAAAATTCATAAAATACATTTTTTTCATAAAATTCAATAAAAATAAAAGGTTCAAATTATATATAAAAATGTTGAGATGGATATATAATGCACAAATTAATAAAATCTAAAGTGACCATATAAAAGAAAAAATGAGTGTGGCATTTATTGAGAGTAAGATGATAAAAAAATCATTTAAAATGATCTAGCCATATATAAAAAATGTTATGAAAAGCATTAGTAAGAAAAGCTGAATGAATAATCATATGTCCTCAAGGGTAGAAAAAACAAACATTTTTAAAAGTTATTGAGTGAAACCTCTTAATTAATAGTATTCTAAAAAACTAAAAAACTTATAAAGCACAGGAACATCATCTAATTCATGTTGTCATTGCTGTTGAATCTTTTTAACTTTATGCTATAAGAAATAATCTTATTGACGTTTAAAACTCCACCATAAATCTCTCTAAATTTTTAAATTTTTCTATTAGATTAGATAACTCATTTGTTGTTGATACATGTATGTTGGCAACTTTGCCAACTTGTGGTCCATTTGAGGCCATAACCCCCAACTTGCCCCACTTTCCTTATAAAAGAGCAAACCAGACAACCTTTCCTTTTTCAACGCGATGCAAATATCATATCTAGCAGCCAAACACAAACACAAAAGTCATCATATCAGATTCAAAAACCATCCTTCCATGGAGCTCCCATCCCCTCTCCATCCTCTTCCCTGGCAATACCTTTTCCCTCCTCAATTCCTCTTTCCACACAACTTCATCCCTCCAAACCATGTTCACTGGACCCAAACACCAGAATCTCACATTTTCTCTGCTGACATCCCTGGTATGTGCGCGCGCGCGCGTATCCATGACTTGTTCACTGTTTTTTTCATGTTTGGTTGATTTGTGTTTGTGCGTGTGTTAGGTGTGAGGAAAGAAGAGCTGAGAGTGGAGGTTGAGGATTCGAGGTACCTCATAATCAGAACTGAAGCAGCAGAGGAATCCACAGAGCCTCCTGCTAGGAAGTTCGTGAGGAAGTTCAGGCTTCCAGCTAGGGTTGATCTTGAAGCCGTCTCTGCAGGCTATGAACACGGAGTCTTGACCGTTACAGTTCCCAGATCTTTGAGGAGAGGTTTCCTCATTGAACCTTCTGTGCCTGACACCACGGAAGCTCTTGCAAGAGCTGCTTGAATTCAATGATTCTTCTTCCTTTTGTTCTTAGATTTCTGGGAAAATCAGCAGCCTCTGGTTCTTGTCATGTCTCAATTAGATATGGATTTGGATGTTTTATCTCGTCACTGTTATTTTCCAGAAGTGACATTTAATTTAAGTCCTCATTTCATTAGCTTTTAATCTTCTTTTTGTGTGCATGTGTGTGCGTATGAGATAACTAAGAAATAGTGATTTGACATTCAAAATCTGAAGAAATAATAAAGCAAGATAACAAGAAAGAACTGACGTGAGGGAAACTAGAAGGAAGACCATAACATCCATTGGTAGTTGTTTGCCAATCGGTATCACTTTCTTTTTCGCCGTCACAAGAATTAGAAAAGAATGGATAAGAAATTTGATTTCCGAACATACCCTCCAACCACCTGGCGGCCGAATGAAAGGAAAAAGGACCCCCAAATAGATGCAGATATTTTGGGCGGCCATCCGAATAATGAATGCATTAGGTTACTCAAAATGATTACAATTTTCAAAGTAATAAAAATATACAATGAAAAATAATATATACTGAAAGACCCCTCATTGTTTGTGTAGAAAGAAAGAAACCAAATATTAAATATTATCAAGTGACAGTTGCGTGACGGCCATATCTTGCTCGAGAATCACGATCAGACTTTTTTTTCTTCTAATGCCTTGACGACGAACAATGGTAGTATTTGAATTGAGAGGCACTAATTCTTTTCTCCGATTTAAATTGTATAAAAATCTTCAGTTACAGCAAAATGCAGTAACTAAATAGGATTTAATGATAGGAAACTTGTAATAGCATTATAACACTTCTCTTTGTTTCAATCAAAACATATCCAAAACAAATCAATAACTTATGAAACTTGAATTCATCTTAATATCAATATATCAACAAGAAAATTTAAAAAAAAAAAAAAAAAAGCGGATCAAGAGAGTAGTTACAACTACAAGACAATCATTTATATTTAACATTTCCTTTTTGGTTGAATATTCAAAAACTATATCCAGTTAACAAACGATTAACCATGTTTGTGATCAGGAAATCAGCTAGATACCTCAATCATTGAATCCACGAGATGTACACAACGAACAAATCAAAGTAAGACGAAGACTTGTTTCCTTACAAATATCCATCTGTTGCACGCTGTGGCATGACGACAACACTTTAGGCACTTGTTATCAGTTTGAGAATCCCAGCAGCCTCCTTCAATCTCCTCTCTCTATTCTCTTTTAAACTGCACTGGCAGCTCTTCCATTTCTGCAGTTAAGCAAATAGGTCAGAGAATTTAGAAGGATAATCGAAGTTCCCAGTTGGTTCTATCTCACCTAACCTTTGAAGAGCTAGGGGGTTTGCTTTTAACAAAATTTCAGTTTACTTTTTAAGATATTTGCATATGTCTACTAACACAAAAACTCAAAATAAATCTTGCTTTTTCCTCTCCGCTGAAACCCAGTTCTGACCTTTTCTCGTAGATTGCCTTCCGTGTAAGCTCCTCAACAAGAGCATGCAGTCGTTTTACAAGTGCAGGTAGCTTGCGTAACGATTCAACACCTTTAGGAGTGGAAGATATCTTCATCAGAAGTTCAGAAGCAATGAAGTAACTGTCTTCCTTATTCCTGGAGAGAGTTAAACGGTTAAAAATTAATTGTAAGGGACAACTAGCAAGACGACAATGATTTATCAACTTTTAACGTCAGCCAATACTAGATCGAAATACCTTAGTAATTCCCAGAGAATTGTCTGTAGAGAACCGTTGCTTTGGATCAGCAAATCAAGTAAGTGAGGGTAGCGAGCCAGATTTCGGAGACTTGACAGAGCATGCTTGAGAACCTCCTGATCAGGTATACTTCGGCTCACTGAGCGAATAAGCGTCAGCAACTTATCTATAGCCCCTGCGGCAGCAAGTTCTTCGCAACATCTCTGAGAATGTTCTGTAGCCATATCTGTGGAAAAGCTTGAAATAATAGAGTCACGGGATAACTTCTTAGGCCTGATCATCTGTAATGCTCAGTTAAATAATCCCATACGATAACAAGAGTACAAAACTAGATGACAGTACTAGAATGTAATACAACATCGTTGAAATAAAGCACTTCCACGTTAGGGAGTAGGGAAAGAATCAAGGCACTCCAAATCACAGGCAGTGGCACAATAAATTCTAGGGTAACTTGGACACGGTATGCCAATGGGAATCAGACAACATACAGAAACTTAATTCCACGTTTGTAAATTGTATATTTCCCTTTATCCATAATATGATAACAGCAGTAACTCATTCCAAATAAAGTATTGTTCTCACCCAACGTTGCACAAGTATGAAGGATGCCACTGACACTCTTCACGTGAAGTAGCTCTGAAAGTGCTGCGAGAAGCCTATTTATGAGACGCTTGCTATCATCCACATTTCTGGCAGACTTCTGCATTCTCAAGCGCAGGTCTAGCAGTTGCTCTTTTGACTCTTTCCGAGCAAGATAACCTCTCCAGTGGGACTACAAACAAATTGAAGTTATAAAAAGGGAGAGGCTAAATATTTATGAAAATACTACAATGTTTAGAAGCGTCATTACCTGCATCATCATCATAGCATTCCATTATTTTTGGATAAATACAATATAATATTGGATTATGATAGAGCCCCTCATTATTTTACTAAGACATATCAAAGGAAGTCAAAGGGGAAGAATGACTCTAGTAGAATCATGTTGACTGGTCCAGAGGTTTATCCTTCAGTCTCTAGCCGTAAGGAACAGTAGGCCGTGATCTTTTGCCATGATTAAGATCTTTTGGGTAGTATGGGCTAGGGGGAAAGCCATGTTGTGTGTTATATTTATCTTTTTGCTTGTATTGAGGGGGTTATGTCTTTTGTGAGAGAATGGTGAGGAGAGACTGGCCTCTCGAATGCCAGAAGGATCTCTTTGTGAGGTTTGAGCTTGTAATGTTATTTTTGTGATCATTCAGGGGAGATAGGGTTTTGGCCAGAATCAAAGGAAGTCTTGTAACTCTGATTCAGTTTCTCTCATTTTATTAATATCAAAACCTCAGCATTTTTCCCTCATTTATTGTTACTACTGTCTTTTGTTGCTGTTTCTGTGGTGATACTGGTTTGGGTCTTATTAGATTATCTATCCGCTTCTGCTTAAATTTTGCTTTTAGTTAAAGCAGTTTTAAATGAATTATAAAGCTAACTCAACATATAAAAGACCTCCAGCATAGATAATGAAAGCGATCAGAAAACCGTACTTGAATGACGACAACTTTGTGCCTGCGAACTGTTGCCATTCGCCTAGCAATCCACCCACGAGTACAAGACTGGATTGTAATAACAGACTTTGTTCTTAACTTATGTAACAAGAGACCCTTCCACCATCGCTGCAATTTCAGAATAGAACACAAGAATAGTTCCAGTTGAAAACTAGAGTAACCAACTGATCTTAAAATGCAACCATTAGGAACCATTGCACATTGCTGAGAAGCACCCCCTAGATTAGGACAAAATACCAGAATAAGAAAATGTTAATTTATAACTAGATCGTGCAAATAATAGCTAAATGGAAGAATTTAAAGTGTATACGTAGACACGCCTCTCGATTACCTAAGAGCCTATTTCGTGATAAATGCCCCCTGATAAAACGCTGAATCTGCAACACTGCATCTTTCCGAACTTGAGAGCCTTTTGGTATTTCAGACTAAGAATGACGCTTTGGATCTTCATTGCAGCGCCTCTTTGGCACATGAAGTCCCTTCTCACCAGCCAAGCGCGGCAATGCCTCTGGATTCATTCAGACCACACCATAAAAATCTAGAGTAAAACTTGAAAATACAAGAACAAATTTAATCCGGTGATTTGGTCTAGAAATATGAATGAGAGTTAAGCAAACTAAAAGCATCATTACAAAACAATTACAATACAATGTAAACAGCACTTCTGAATTAACCAATTGGTCAGTGTATATTCTGTCTTGGTACGGGAATAAGTAAATAACTTTCTTTTTCCGTATGGTGGAAGGTCAAGTAAAGAATGGAAAACAAAATATAACAATAGAACGATGGTCAGCTCTTACTTGAATTGCAACGATACGATTTCTGCGTACATAAGCTTCCTTCCGTGCAATCCACGCACGTGTGAAAGACTGAATGACAATGGCTGCCTTAAATGCCATTTTGAAGTGTTGAAAAGTTTTTATACTTATTGACATTCGAAAATAAGACTGGATTCTCAAAACAGCCTGAATCTGGTTCAAATATATTCTCCTTAACCGCCACATACGAAAATGGCTTTGAATTATTGTCGCATAGAAGTGCCTCTGAGTAGACTTGCAGCACATATACCTCTTCCAAGCAAGCTGAATCCTGATGGCTGCTTTTGTTTGAAGATCAAAAGTAACCTTTTGTACGTATAAATATGAAGTTTTCTCTTGCTGATCAAGCATATGATTATATCTAGATCGTGCCATCCAGCCACGAACAAATTTCTGAACGATAGTGGCAGCAGCCACTGGATCTGAAGCCGTCAGATAAGGAAGTACACTACATCCCTGTTGATGCCTCCGAGAGAGGCAACTCCTCGCTGCTTGCTGGATAATTAATGTTGACCTCTTCAACTTCAAAAAAGCGTGCCTTTGAACGAAAAACATGGCATATCTCCTATATGTTTCTGACCTCTTGCTTATTGCTGTGCAAATAAACAAGTAAAAGATGCCAAAGTACTCAACCAAATTACGTACAAATGTTCAAGAGACAAAGCTAACACGCAGCATACCACATGAAATTTTTTGACGGTGGACGGCGGTGAACAAAGACTGCTGCCTCACTTCTAGCCAAGCTCGGAAAACAGTTTGCAAAAGAGAGACAGCATTATTCATTTTGAGAAACAAGCGACGACCAACCAATCTTCTGAAATGTGATTGTATTGTTATTGCAGCGGTTTCTGGAATCATTGTACAACGATTATCGATAAGGAAAAAGTATCGTTAGTACTAGTTTTACAAGCACTGCCACAAAATGTAATAATGAGCTACAATATTTGGCAAAACCATCATATACTTTCACAAGCAATGCCGTTGGAGAAGAAAGGACGAAGTGATACGAATAATATTTCGTCAACGTCAAACTATCAAGTCCAATAATTAGTGAGCCAATAAAGAAAAAAACAGATGTTCATTAACCCTGCAAATAGGCCATCTTATCCATTGTAATTGTTGCCAGTTAGAAATTGATACGGGATGGACTAAGTCTTGCTTCTCTTTATAACTACTTATGAGTAATTTGAAGGGAGGGAAAGGGAAACTGATCCATTTCTCAAGAAAACAAGATATGTATTTCTTTCAAGGTTTGAAATAGATGCACAAAGCGCTGCATAACAAGAAAAAGAACCGAGCAAATCACACGAGTCACCTCTTCCAATGTTGGCACTGCTTTCAATGGGTCTGCACGCAGCTGATTTAATACAAGATTTCTGATTTCTTTCTGCCATATCTTGCCACCAAGCCTGGATGGCCTTGAATTTTTTTGTAGCATCTATCTTAATAAATGAGCGGGCATCAATCAAGGATATATATGAAAAGAAATTATAAATTTAATATCATTTTCTTCAATAACATCATAGCATTCTCATTAAAAAAATTTAAGACGATGCCTGTTTCAGGTTTAATATGCTCCAAATTGACCTTTTTGCCAACTACAGATAAAATATGAGAGATATCACGACACTGTTTACCCAACAGCAAATCCAATTACCATGCAAGAACTCCAATATGGGCTACCTTTAAATACAACACAAACCTATAGACAAGTACATGCATCTTCAAGATACTACCCATCTAGTGTTCACTGACCTGTTTTCATTTTTTACTAGATTACATTCTTCTCACTTCTCTTAACACTATAGCACATGATTCCAACTTATAAAGGGAAACAAACGGCTGTGAGAGAGAGGTTACAAAGTAGTGCTATGTAGGTGAATGGTGACTATGTTGTTAATAAGATGTCAGCCAAAGCTATGCAAAATTTACTGCATGTATGAAATAAAAATGTATGAATTAAATGACTTGCACAAATGACCGAACTCTGAACCACTAGAGAGTCAACAATGAAACCTTCGTTGTCATGCACATCAAAAGTGTCCGGCTTTTGTACGACTCCAGAATTAGAAAGACACTGCCCCATCCTCAAATGTTTCCGGTACAGACTTTGGCAATCACAACCAAGGAGCTTGTGGAAATTTAATTGATCCTAGAAGAAAGAGATATGTTTTTACGCAATTTCCCTAATATGATAATAGCAGGATGAGCATGCAGTGCAAATTCATTTTACCACATTTTTCTTGACAAATAATTGCCTTGCAAGGAAAACCAACAATATCACCACACTTCGATCACTGGAAGCACCATTATATTCAAGTAGCTCGCTTATTTGAAGTACCTGTAGAATAGCATGCCATGCATTACCATTACGAATGTATTGAGATAAGATATTTGCAATTTTGTATTGAAGTCATTTCTTGGCCCTCACGCAAAAGTGGTGCCATTTCAACTTTAGTTATTTCAAAATTTCATTGTTGTTTTTGGCACTTCACAAAATAAGTGATCCGTTACTTTATTGTCAAATTCTGGTGACCCTGCCAAGAAAATAGTCAAACTCTCCAGAAGAGAAATCTTCACCACTTAGAACATTTACCTCCGGAAAATTTCCTAATAATGTTGTCAACCGCTGTGATAATATAAAATTGTACACTGCATCCGAATAATCATTGACAGACATTATTGATTCCTTGCCGCTTTTCATATTGACTTCCTGTAGGGAGGAGAAGAAAAATTTAAAGCTGCTGATTCTAAATAATGAAGTTTTGGGCAGGAGTCTTAAGAAGAATAAGATTAACTACCTTCAGTAAGCAGGAGCTATGAAGTTCTTTCTGGAAATAATAATCAAGTAAGCACCAGATAGCTTTTCCATCAACTAATGAATCAAAATTGTCAATCCCACAATCATAATTTTCACAAACTGCCTGGAAAAGAGAAAACAACATGATCGACATGCAGATAAATAATTCAGAGAATGTGTTTTCAACATATGCCTCCATGAAGAAAGAAAATAACGAGTAGTGCTTAGCATGGCAGTACCATTAACGAAAACACAGTAATGAAATGACGCTGCAAGGTTCAACTAGGCAAATTGCATGCTACAGTGAAACTCTGAATCAATACAAGTAGTTTAACAAATACAAGACAAACATTATGTTTGAAAATATTATGGCCATGCAGCGCAACAACCTGTTGAAGCTAGCTTTGGATAGTAACTTTTATGGAACGAATATAACTCACAAGCCTCTTGCAAAACACAATGGAAAATATTACAGATGGCCATTGGTGTGAAATGCAAAATAGTACTAAAAGTAAATAAAGCATTACAGATTGTTAATCGTTGTAGATTCTGCAGGAAATTTTCTGAAGCAAATATGAAAATATCATAGGCATAGTACCTGAATCCAATTCAAAAGCAATTCCAATGAACTTGAATTTGAATTGTTAATGGCATCCTGCAATGCGCAAAAAAAGATTGAGGCTTAAGTATCATAGAAGTTTTTTCTTAAGAAAATATAAAACTTGTACATTAAACCAGGAAACTAATCTAAAATTGGACATACCACACCAAGTCCACGAATTTTGCCAATTTCCTCTTGTAAACTTGATTTATCAACCAGAAGAGGTAGCTGCAAATTCAATGACATGGGAAATTAGATTACCATCCAGGTCAAAATCCAATGATAATCAAATCCTAAATCAACAAGACTGCGGCAATTTTTATAAATTTAAGGTAGGTGTGTCACCTGCAAGTGAACAAAGATATTCCACAGCAATGAGAGAACAAGTTCTTTGTCTCTATTGGCAACATCCTCTGCTACAATCATAATGTTATCCTCATCGTGTAGCAACACACCAGCTTGCTTAAGGTATTGTAGGGCAAGGCCACAGTTGGCCAAATTCTTCTTGTAAGTGTCTGGGGGAACTGCAATTTTCTGTCCACATAATGACGCCTCAAATTCATAACGGATTGCAAGTTGCAACATCCAAAATATATAGTACTTAAAATACCAACAAGCTAATATTATTTCCACACAAATACAACCAACCGTGAGGATAGAAGAATCATGCTGCAAGAGCTGTATAGCTCTACAGAGCTTTAATCCATCTTGAAGATCTACAAATAAATCTCTGACCTTGAAGTTATACTCAACAAGTGGCCCCTGCACAATTACAAAGACGCCAGATAATAAAATCTTTCTACAAGTTATCCTGATACAATTCCTTCCTCATCACCAACGCAATGGAACATAAAATCAACTTTATAGTCAAAATTGTCTTAAAATAATTCAAGACAGAAGTCATAATCTCACATAAATGAGCAACTGAGATTTCGTTGAATATGTAACAGATCACTTACCTGTTGATGAGATAGTTTGTAGCCTATTATCATTAAATGAGACAGAAGATTTCCTTCTCCATGCATTATCTCTGACGATAGGAATTCTAGTTTTTAACCAAGAGGAGAGAAAAGTTAAATGGCAGTTATTTTAAAACATTGACAGAAAGTAGGAGTACGACTGATACAAAGAAAAAGATTTACCATTGATGACTTGACTACTTGATTTAATCCAAGTTTCTGCTTTGAACAACAAAGGGGAACCCCCATCCAATCCATCAATACCATACTTAAGTGAAAGGCAGCTCTGACATTTAATTCTATCCAGAGAAAGCACAAGCAATAAAATCCTCTTTAAAATCACATTCCCCAAATTCTCATAGTACCCTGGCCTGTATAGGCCGTCAACCATCTTGTTATAAGCATACGCTTTTGCCAAACCAGCATGTGAAAAAAATTGCTTCTCAATAACCATTTTCAAAAACGTGATTTCTTGTTCAGAATCACCATTCCCGTTAGGCACCAAAGAGTCGCCACCAAAAATTATAAATAAACCAATCCGGAGCCAAATTGGATTATAACACATAAGGATTCTTGTGGCTTTATTTTTCAATCCGAGGTCTGTTACGATGGGGCAATGTGGCTTCAACTTTAACCTTCCTTCATCAATATTCTGGCAAATAAAATTGAGACACAATTCAATTAGGCCCATAACATTTAGGTCCTGTGAAAAGTTCAAGTGTTCTACAAATTAAGATCCGTCTCTAATCAATAGTGAACTGCACGATGTTCAGGTCAGATCAACCATAAAGCGTGTTTCATACACTATGGCTAATGCATTCATAACATAGGTAGCAGTGGCCCCTATATCCTAAGCTTTTAAAATTCAAAAGTGAATGAGTGAAAATAAAATAATAATGTATCAGAAACTGGCTAAATAATTTGAAAAATAATAACACTTAATTTACTGAGCTTTCACAACAATTAAACGAAAAGAGGAAGATTCTTATTCTCTAAAAATTCATGCCAAGTCAATGGAAGACCGAAACAAACCTTGGTGACTTGATTCATAACTTCAAAAATCTCTTTACAACTTCCCAAGTTCAGATAAACTCTCATTCGCTGCTTCAAATCATCGAAACTGCAGACATCCTCTAGAGATTCCCTCAAGTAGGGAAACATAGAATTTGGCAATTCCAAGAGCGCATTTTCATTACCAACACGCTCCCCTGCCCGCGACCACATCTTCCTCTGCCGCTTCGGAGTACGCCAGACTTTATCAACCCCAATGGAAATTCCAGGACCGCTATCCCTCTTGCCCTTCGTCGCCTCCGCTTCAGAATGCTTATCCCCCATCTGAATACCGGCGATGGACAAGTCGCATCCGCAAGTAGCCGGGTTTTCGAACAAAAAATTAAGCCAAACAGTGATGGACTTGGTTAGAGATTTGAGAGACTGTTCTTTCTTGATTTGAGCTTTCCTCGAGGACTGAGACAGCTCAAGTTCAAATTCCTTGAGTTTCCTAGCCGCCGCCCCCGACTTCTTGGTTCGAGTTGAAGATGGCGGTGCGATGGACGGCCGGCGACGGAATGCCGAGGATGCGGAGTTTTCTTGGAGGCGGTAAAGAACTTCTGACAAGGGGATTGGAAGTTGAGGTTGTAAGATGGGCGCTTGGGAGTTTTGAATTGGATATGTCCTTGAAAAGCGAAGACGACGAGACATACGTGACGCATAAGGAGGTTCATCGCCGTCCATTCTTTTACGTTGTTTACTCTGGGATCTGAGTGGCTTTTCGTGAGAGAGTGTTAGGGGGAAAGGAGTTTCTTGCAGTGTCGTCGGAAACTGGAAGAGGAAACGGGACTGAGACTGCCGGAGTTGAAGTTTCAGTTTTGAATTCGAAATGTGACGGAGAGCGGGCAATATCAGTGTATGGCATGAGACTTGGACGCTTTTCTTTTTTTCTTTTCTTTTTTTTCTTTTTTCTTTTTTTTTTTTTTTGCTTAAAAAAACAAACAAACCAACCAAAGGAAGAAGATTATATTGCAAATTTAAATAAACTCGAAATATAAAATTATATTATAAATTTGAACATAAATTCATAAAAATTTACTTTTATTAACAAATAATCATTAAATATAATTATAATTTAATTTAAATATATCAAGAATATAATCATTGAAATTAAATACATCTACATTAATAAATTATCATATACAAGACATAAAAATTTAAAATGAAAAAAATTATTTTTGATATTTTGTTTTCTTTTTTATTAATATTGGCTTTTGCATTTTAATTTTTTTCTTCTTTAAACCAAATCTTATAATTTTTATAAAAAAAAACTCTATATAGTATATACTTAATTCGTTCAACTAAAAAAAAATTAATGAACTTAATAAGTTTAACTGAACTTATATTTGGTCTGAGTTTATGA